TTCAGAATCAACAAGGGTTCGTAGAACGAAGGGAGTGTACAACTGGTTTTTCAAACCACTTTCTTGTTCGTAACGAGGGAGAGATAAAATTGAGTTCTTCACGAAGTTCGAGACAAAAAAAAAAAAAAGACTTTCCCTATGGCCTCCTTGTTTTAAGACATTATGGCTCTGGGGTCGACCCCGGTAACAAAGAAAAAATCCATAAAAATTTGGGATCCGACACCATAATAAAATACTACCCTCATGATTAGACCATGTTCCTGAGATTTGATAAAAGAAAGGTGCATTAGCGGTTAATACGTTGTAATTGGATAAGTTATTAGGAATATGACAGAACGAAAGACCAAGGAAAGAAAGAAGAATGCACCAAAATGCAGGTGCTGCACCAAACGCTGGTGGTTGTTTCTTGTTGTAAGTGAATGCAACGAAAAGACCCGGAAATAACGAATAATGAAAGAATTCATATATTGATATTGACATTTCGTGCTCATTTCAAGATTTCTGCTTCGTTATTCCCATCATCCGGTAACCACAGGATGATCCACAAGAAAGGTGGCAGGATTCGAACCTATGGCCGGCCCAACCCTGACCTGTTGGGTTGGGTGGCCTGCTTCGCCCTCGTCGCCTCTGTACCCGAAACAGATGCGCTGCGCTACCCAGCGCGTAACCTTGTCCCCCTATCCCTCTTCTGCTTATGCCATTACCAATCGCGGGTAACCCCCGGACCGGCCGCCCCTAACCTAATAAGAACGATTATCCTTATGACCAAACAAGGACCAGCTTACTTTTCGAGCGAGAGTTTCACGATCCCGACCAGCAACTTGTTGTGGGAGTAAGGGCATCCAAGCTTGCCCAACCTAGTAAAGGGGCTTGGAGATAGAGGGTTTTCTGGGGGGATTTGGCTTCTTTGGAAAGCTGAGTTGGAGGTGAAGATTGTTCATCGCCAGTATGTTCATTTTAGTGTTTATCGGAATAATGCTTTTCTGTCCTGGGTAACGGCAGTCTATGCTAGTCCTAATGCTACTTTGCGGCGTGCTCTCTGGGAGCAGTTGAGTAGCTTGGCATCTATGATATCTGATCCTTGGCTAATAGGTGGGGGGACTTTCATTCCATTCTGTGTAGTTCAGATAGCCGGGGTGGCTCAGCTAGTGGTAATCGGCCGTGTCGTTTGAGTTGGTTCCATTCCTCTAGTCTCTATGACATGAAGTTCGTTGGTCCGAAGTTGACTTGGGCTCGCAAGGGTTTGCTGAAGCGTTTAGATAGAGCTACACTTGAGAGTCTTTCTATTACTTCCTTGCTTACCTGGCTCACTTCGCAACAAAGAGAAGTTGTTTATTTGCTTGCTTAGCTAGAAGATGCCAACTTCGTTCACTTACGTCTCTCGTTTACTTGTTAGCTAGCCCTATTCCTCACCTTTGCTTTGAGGGTATCTAAATAAAAAAAATATACAGTGGTGTGCTCGTTAGAGGATGCTTTTTTAGTTAGCTAAGCGACTACCTTAGTTGAAGGTGGGAGGAGAGCAGCAAAGTCTCTTATCTTTCCAAAGAAGGCGGAAATCGAGATGTGAGAAAAAGAATAGCTATTCACTCTCCAAAGAAGCCCTCAAAATTCTTTCTAGCAAATGTGAAGAGAGGATTGTTGACAATTCAATAACCACTGCAATACCCTCTTACGGAATGATCTCGGTGTTCTCGCTATGTCGTCAATCTCAGTATACGGAAATGGTCTGACCAAGAGGCATCGATCTGGAGTGGGTCTTGCATTGCCGGATGACAGGAGCCCTTTACCTCCACTCTTCAATTATATCCATACCAGGTGAACACAGATGATCGACCTTCAGTGCCTGGTCAACCATTAAAGAAGAGAAGAGGAGCGGAACAATGAGAAGGAGTTCGTAGCCCTCCAACCAGAACTAATCAACCCGCCTCTTCAACATCTCCATTTCCCATTCCATCTCTGGGATCCAATGCTTCTTCACCGGGCCCGCCCGATCCCCAGAACGTAAAATGGAACCATACCGGAAACCGTTTGATCAGGATAGAAAGAGCAAGGGGCTTTGTTTTCGTTGTGGTGACAAGTGGAATCCTGGTCACAGATGTAAGGGCAGAGAATTAAAGTATATGGCTGTGGATGAAGGAGATGAGTTGGATGAGGCTGATGAAGCTGAAACAGGGAAAAAGATAGAAGAATCAGATGAGGATGAAGTAAAGGAATTACTCTGGTTGTCTTTGCGGTCGATGGCAGGTTTAACAACTGAGAGATCCATGAGGATGAGAGGACAAATTGCAGGACAAGAAGTCATTGTTTTAATTGATTCAGGGGCTACAAGCAATTTCATAGCAGAGAGTGTAGCACATCGGTGTGGTCTGCAAATCACAGAAACTCGTGGATTTGGGGTTTCTATTGGAAATGGTCAAGTCGTTCCAAGTGCCGGGAAATGCAGCGGAGTAGAGCTAACGGTCCAAGATGTGCAGATACGTGCGGACTTCTTCCTGTAACCATGGATATAGTGCTGGGTTATGCGTGGTTGGCTACTCTGGGTGACACCAGAATGAATTGGGGAAGACACACCTTGAGTTTCCGTAGGGAAGATCAGTGGGTCACCTTAGCAGGCGATCCGTCACTGGTGCGAGCTCAAATCTCTCTCAATTCGGTAGTCAAAGAGGGAAGGAAGGCTTATTATCTCCTAGAGCTCACCGCACTGTTTTGCAGGAGGAATTAAGACTCAAAATTTTCCTGAGGATGCTCAAGTGAAACAGTTGTTGGAATGGCATGAAAACGTGTTTGAGATGCCGCAAGGATTACCCCCAAAATGTGGCAGGGAACATGCTATCAACCTTAAGGAAGGAGCAGAACCAGTTAACATCCGTCCTTACCGGTATACATATACTCAGAAGGACGAGATTGAAAAATTGGTTAGGGAGATGTTAGAAGCACGGATCATCCAGCCGAGCATCAGTCCATATTCAAGTCCAGTTTTGCTCGTCCAAAAGAAGGACGGAGGATGGCCTACGGCGCGTGGATTACCGAGCCTTTTACAAGCTCACGGTACCAGACAGGTACCCAATTCCCGTGATCGAGGAACTGTTGGATGAGTTACAAGGAGCTTCTGTATTCTCCAAACTCGATCTCAAATCCGGGTACCACCAAATACGTGTACGAGCCACAGACGTGAAGAAAACTGCCTTTCGAACTCACGAAGGGCACTATGAGTTCCTGGTCATGCCATTTGGGCTTACCAACGCACCAGCAACATTCCAATCCGTGATGAACGATATTTTCCGCAGGGAAGTTTGTGTTGGTATTTTTTGATGACATACTAGTCTATAGCAAGGGCACGGAGGAACACATGAATCACTTGGGAATGGTGCTCCAGATTTGGGAACAACACCAGTTTTATGCAAACAGAAAGAAGTGTGCTTTTGGACAACCACAGATTGCATATTTGGGACATAGACATATTATATCGGGCGAAGGGGTGTCAGCTGATCCAGCTAAGTTAGAAGCAATGGTGGGTTGGCCAGAACCAAAGAACACAACAGAATTGCGAGGCTTCTTGGGCTTGACGGGGTACTACAGGAGATTCGTTAAGAATTATGGGAAAATTGTGAGACCGTTGACCGAGTTACTCAAAAAGAACAGTTTAAAATGGACAGAAATGGCAGCACTAGCTTTCAAGGCTCTCAAAGGAGCAGTGACGACGCTTCCTGTTCTAGCCTTGCCAGATTTGAAGCTACCTTTTGTGACCCGCGTCGGGAAATGGAATTGGAGCTGTTTTATTACAAGGGAACAGGCCTGTTGCGTATCTCAGCCAAGGGTTTTCTGAAAAGGGGAGCTTGAAATCAGTGTACGAACGAGAGCTCTTAGCAATAGTCTTGGCAGTCCAACGTTGGAGACATCAGGGCAACGTTTCACGATACGCACAGACCAGAAGAGTCTAAAGCACTTGCTGGAACAAAGGTTTGTCACCAAGGAACAACAGAGGATGGGCTACCAAACTGTTAGGCTTCGATTTTCTCATTGAGTATAAGCCGGGAACTGAAAATAAGGCTGCTGATGCGTTGTCAAGACGAGTGCAACCTGAGCGTCTGTTGGAACTTGTATTCGCACCTCCTCCCTCTTTCGATGCAGCAGAATTACTATCTCAAGTTGAAGCTGATCCGGAGTTAAGAACTGTGTTACAACAAGCCCGATAGGGAAAGAACCTGGAATCTGGTTATACGGAAAAAAGAGGGCTGCTATGTAAAGATGGAAGAGTGGCGTCTCGAATCAGCCAAGCTTTCTCCCAATTTCTTCTATATTTTCATCTCTTTCTCTATTCTACCGAGAAGATCCATCTCGGGTCTTATCAGATGGTATCAGAGCCTTCGGTCTTCTGACTGTGGGTATCCAACGACGATTTCGACAATGGGTTTGGATAGTAACGATATAGCGCTGATCAGGCGGATTCTCGCTCGGGTGGAGCAGATGTTTTTTTCCATCGCATGACGACGATGAAGAGATCCGCCGATCCTGAAGCTGAGGAAGACCCAGATCCGTCGCTTGGGAAATTCATCGAGCAGGTGGTGAGCGGTCCAACTCAGAAGGGATTTCCTGCATCTGGAGCTTTTGCGACTCCTCGGGCAAGACGATCTCGCGGTCCGAAAAGGTTTCTTGGCAAGCGCAACTACCGCAGGGCTCGGGCAAGAAAACCAGGGAAGCGTGACAGAGCTCACTCGTCCAAGGTTAGATCTAGCGATGGCTCTACACGACCTTCTGCGAGATATGGTATGCGTTTCCGATCTCCTACTTTGCCCTTGTGTTCTAGACCTCGGACATGGGAATTTCTGCTTGATCTTGGTTACGATAGTATGTCGCTGAAGAGCGCTCGTGTAGCGAGTGAACGACCTTGCGATCCTGGACGAGCTAACCATGTGTGGGAGCCGGGTGGATTATCGCCTGAACAAGCTCAGTGGGACTGGGTAGGGAAGGTTTACAGTCGTGATAGAGTTCTGAAGCTAATGGGAGAGCTTCATGAATTGGGTTTACAGGGAATCAGGAAGACGGTAAGGATCTTAGATTGTCAAGGATCTTCCTCATAAACACGTTTCCGCTTGCAGCTGAAACAAGCGGAGAAGATGGGACCAACGAGATCAGCCACCAGGAAGTTAATAAGATCTGATTTTTGGCATCCTTTGATCCTGGAAGAACTTGTGCTGAAAAGTGAGTTCGTCAAAGAGCTCTGGCGAGGCATTAGAGCTGTGAAGGGAAAGAAGGTTAAGAAGAGGAAGAAACGGGAACCTAGCCTGCCAGCTTTGGAACCCCAGAATTTTCCCTGTGTTGGGGGGTTGGAGGTATGATTAGTAGGCTTAATTATAAAGTTCTCGTTCAACCAGAACTAGATAAAGCTACAAGGGCAGTCTCTAGAATTACTTACGGATTGGTTGCTGTTGGTAAAGCTGATGGGTATAGTTTTGAGGTTGTGGATTGATCAAGTTAACTCCACTGACGAAGATAAGCTTGTGAGTTTCATTGGATCTGGTGGGTGTCAAACACACTTTAAGAAGCAGCTAGTAGCAAGGAAGTTAGCATTGTTTAATCCCGAAAAATTCATGAACCTAAGACTACCTCATGACAAGGGAATTCTAGTCTTTGCTGGTCATAGAATTGCTCAAACCACATTGTGAGATTGATGCCATTTTGATAGAAATCGTCGGTATATAAAGAGAAAGTTTGCGATGTAAGATGTGCTCTTACGAAGGAAAATAGGATTGCTAACTTTTCCATCTATATAAAATGAAAAGCAAGTTTTTGTATCAGGAAAGAGGCAAGGACAGATCCGCCGAAGAAGGATCGGGGTTAGAACTAGTCTGAAGCTTAAGGCTTTTGCTATTCAAGAAGGCTCTCCCTGCTGGCTCCATGTATGCTATAGCTCCTGAAAGTGTGAGTTTGGCCCCTGGATAGAGAGAAAGGTAAAATAAAGAGGAGAGTGATGTTTCGTTTCAAGTTCGAGATCTCGTGTAGGTATACATGAGAACAGAGAAGTGTCCTACGGATTCAGAACCGGAAGGTCAGAAAAAAGTGGGAATGACAGTCCGGCTACCGGAGGAGCTATTCAACTATTATCAACTATTGAGTCTCTGAGTGGATTTTCCAATAGATGGGAGCAAGGATATTCTGTCTGAAGAAGGACGCAGAAGTTAGTGCGTAGCGCTTGATACATCAAAGTATGCCTCCCGCTTACACATCAGCAGTCGTTCTAATTTTTCAATCAAAGTAGTAGCTGTCGTATTCCAGAAGGAAGGGGGATTGATATAAGAAGAGTCAGACTTCTTTTTAAGCAGCAATCTTTTACAGAAAAGAGAGTAGTTGTCGTCGATGTGGGATAGTCCCTGAAGAATAGTACCCATGTCAACGGATTGCAGGCATAGTTCAACTCATAGCCCCCAATCCCACGGGTGACGATATTGTCATTGGGGATCTGTATGCTTTCAAAAGAGTCGTTAGCTGATCTAGGAGTCAGTGGTCAATAAGTAGGCAAAAGACTCTGGGGAAGTAAGCGAAGCTATTGATTGGTTGAGCCCCTCAACAAAGCATGTCCAGCACTTATCTTAAGTTCCTTTAAGCAGATCTGTGAGCAATCCTAGGCCTCTCTTTCAGTAATTTCCAAAGAGTATAGGCTCAATTAAATTATTTATGGTAGGCAGAGCAATCGTAGACCCTTACCTAGCTAGTGACCTGGCTCTCTTCTTCATACTTACTGCACGCAGGATAAGATCTACTTGTCCTCCTCCCTTCCCTTTACCTTTAAATGAAAGCTTTCACCCTCTCCCTCATCTGCATCCAAACCGGAGCGACTTTGTTCAATCGCTTTTGCACTTTTTCTCTGCCTGGCAGGCTTTCATAGTTCACGGCCCCTGTTGAGTAGGGTCGGGTATAGGTAAGGCAATCGATTCAAAAGTAGACTGAGCAGTGGAGGTTTAGAATAACCTAGGCCGTACTGTAGAAGGAAAGAAAGGTAAGCAATCCCAGACCGCAATAGGGCTACCTTTCTTCGACTGAGACCTATCTGCTTGAAATTCCCCGAGTTCACACTTCACTTGGACACAGCCAAAGAAAAAGGGGGGCTTGATCCACCGCTTTCAAGTCCAGTTAAATTAGAGAACTCCTTTTTAGAAGAATAGGATAGAATCTTCCGAATCAGTCCTACTATGGTTGGACCAAGGTCATTTCGACTCTCTAGACTTTCTTGCTTCTTTCCATCCTGAGAAGTAGATCCTTTGGACCTTTTCTTTCCTGTTGAACGAGTGGATGTTTTGAACGAGTGTTGAGCGAGTGAAATGCCCCATAAGCTATAAGGGCGAGCTATCTCTTTAGATTCTGTGAGCTGCGATTGAACTGAACGTTCCAAGTGCATCCAGCAGGAATCGAACCTACTTGCCTCTTTATTAGGTTGGGCGCTTTAACCATTCAGCCATGGATGCAAAGAGAGCGAGTGAACTAGGTTTTGGTATTCCTTCTCGAGCTTCAATTTCTTCCGTTATAGGAGATTCGAGAAAAGATGGAATAGGAAGACGTGTTTCCAGAACAAACAAGATACGGGTTGAGAAGGGGAAGTTAGCAAAGTTAGACAAGATTGGAATGGGCATAGGAACATGTTGATGTACCAGATCGGCTAATGCTCCCAGGTTGATGCGATGTATTCCACCAGTTGACTGAAGACTTTATTATTGGTATATCGATCGGTCCAGCACGAATTGAAATAGAAGCCGGTTCGACAGGAAGCTTTTGAAAACGCAGTGCACCCAGGTAAATAAGAAACGAGATGAATACAGAGGTCAAACGAGCATCCCACACCCAAAAGGTCCCCCACATTGGTCTTCCCCGAAACCCCCCAGTAACTAAGGTAAACAACGTAAAAAAAGCACCCATTTCTATACCGGTTCCGGAAGAGCGAAGATAAAGGGGATGTTTTGTTAATAGGAACAAGAAAGTGTTATAGCCGTGGCGATATAAACAATAATACTCATCCGAGCCGCAGGAACATGTACATAGAGAATACGAGAATTTCCACCTTGTTGAAGATCTAGTGGTGCTACCCCAAGACTTAAATGAATAGCCATCGCTGTTAAGAACAACCAAGACCAATGAGAATTTGCGCGTAGCTTCTGGTCTTTGACATCAAAAAAGAAGGTTGTAATAACGAAACGGACATGTGCAAATTTTGTCCTAGCTAGTGGAACAAGAAAGACATGGATCTATAATACGCAATCAAAGGATTTCCCCCAAACGAATAATTCCCCCTCCCTGCTTTGTTGTTTTCGCTCTGCTTGTGCGTGGCACTCCTTGCTGGCGGAGCGGCGCATAGCGAAAAAAAGAAAAAAGGAAACTCACCACCAAAAGATCAGTCCAATAATCCACTCACTGGTAGCGCAATACTTCTTCGTGAATCTCCGCTATTTGAATATGGAACATCATAACAACGAAAAGGAATGAAACGGCTATAGCTCCTATATGAACTACCGGGAAGATCATAGCGAAGAAGTCGAGACCTAACAAAGACGTAAACCTGAAATGGCGGTTTAGTCGTCGGAATCGCTTTTATTTATGTCGTAGTCAGACAGCAATTCCAGTAGCTCCACCCAAAACTTGTCCGTTTTTTCCTAACCGGGAATAAAGATAGTAGAATCTTTTCTTACGCCGATCGATATCGATCATTTCATGTTCAGTCATCAAAACATTTATTGCTCGTTCTATATCCCGTTCATCCGGAATATGGTAACCTTCGGATACTAAGAGTTCATGTGTTTTTGCTATTATTTTTGCCTTGATTTTTTCGCATTTATCACTCTGCTGCTTTTACTTGCTCCCGATGGTATCTGTGTTTTGATCCTCTACCTCGAGGTTCAAGAAAAGGCGTTTTGAGCCACTTTCCTTGTACTCTTTCGACCAGAAAGGTGAACCCCTCTGCTGATCGTGAGAGTGCTCATTCTCATGAGCATAATATCCTTCTAAAAGACCACCCTCAGATGGATTGTGGGGGCATTGGCGTATTTCCTCCTCCTAGTCTCCGGATACCACCGGGTAGAACTGAGAAATGGCACGACTTAAGTCGTCCATCCACAAGTATCCTACAGCAAATAAAGATTTACAGAGAATAACTGAAAGAAACATAAAACCAAATTAGTTGCCATTTTTGGAAAGTTTGTCTATAATAGGAAGCGAACAAAAGGAATCTAAAAGGACTTTTATGCTGCAAAAGACTGGGATGGGAAACAAAACAGAAGTACAAAACGGATATACGTGTAACCAGCAAACCAAAGACCAAAACTTCAGTACGGTCCGTGCGCCGTTTTCTTCTCTACCATGACGAATCAATTGATTAAACGTGGGCATTATTTTCCTTTCTTTTTTCCCCCCATTTTGTGCCCTATCACTTTACTCCCGATCCGAAGCACCCCTTTTCCATTCATATAGAAATCCAATCGTCAAAATAAATAAAAAGAGTCCATCATGGACCAAAATCTGCCCGAGACAAAGCTGAGCTGTCAAATAAGACCAACAAGGGATAAGATAGGGAGGCTCCTCTAAAGCTGGAACCTCTTCCAACCCCAGCACGGCTCTTCCCCGTCGACTCCTCGTACGCGTATCACAGGGGCAAAACACGCCTTCAAAACATCTGGATCATACAAACTTCTCATTCAGTGGAAAAAACCTTACCAAGACTAGTTGCCTCAACGAATTGATATGCTTTTGCTTTTTGTGACACCGGCGCGAATGCTGAATACGGAGGAATACAATGAAATCAGAACAAAGCAGGTAGACCAAGCTAGCTTACAGAATTCGAGGAATTCAAACTCAGAATAAGCTCTTTTATTAGCACGTTTGGTAGCCAGAAAGGAAAGAGGTTCTCATTCACAGTGCCTTCTCCCTGTGATCACTGATCAAAAGGACATTCATTCAGTAAGGGATTGATCCTCAAAGTGGTTCTTTTAGCACAATGATTACTTATCTTATAATG